TAAGCTAGGTTAGTTGCAGGTGTCATGCTGGTGATTGGAGAACCTAGTAGGATAATACGTGAAGACCAGGGATTCTAATTACTCCTGCAACACGAGCTGGTGACGACAACGAAAGTTCCTCGTTCACCCCTCCGACAATATAGGCTCATTGTACAAGGTTAGGTAACAACATCTATAAGAAACTCCAAATCTATTACGTCCGACAAACTTCCTTTAACAACCACTACTATACATCCAAACACTTTCCTTCACCTTCCCCCATTTTATACTGGTGCTGGATTCTACTCAAATACTTAAATGGTGTAGCTATGTGTACAAAGCTTCTTATGAAGAGCGGCTGTCCCCTTCTCTACTTGCCGCAGATGTAGGCAACTGCTACAGGCCTGGTCAACCTGTAATCTGTCGCAATCCTAGAAGGGTAGAGAAGGTCAAATACTAGGTGATCGGATGAAAGGCTAATCTCCACGAGACGTCTGTGTTGATGTAGCAGCCATTTAATTAATTGAGCAGTTATCCAGAGAAAGTATAAGGTGGAACACATCCCGGCTTGCTGTACATCAAGCCACATTTGAAAAGCAAGCTTGCCAATCCTAGTTATGACTTGGAGGCCAACCTGTATATAGTGGCTGCAGCGCCTTTATGTGATTAGGTTTCAAATTTTTCTAGGTAGCTAGACGCCATTCAAGACATAATATAGGTTTTGAATTTTTTTTTCTTATATTCTTGAGTGGTGCCAAGGAGCTCTGGCGGAAGGGCCTTTATTGAGTCTGGCATTTAACTTTTCCTAGCAAAGAGAGATATATATTACACTACTGAGTTATAAATCTTGTAATTTGCAAGTCTAAAATTATAAATAAAAATAATGTGTAAGGACTGCCTGTTCCTTCAAAAAAAAGGAAAAAAAAATTATTATACTATAATGGTTTTTTGAAAATTAGTATATAAATTAGTTTTTTATAAGAAACAGTACTTAATAAATTATAAATTATTATATTAATTTTATTTAACCATTTTTATTTAAATTTAATTGATATTTTGTAATTTGAATTTAAAAGTATTAATCATTATATTATAAATTACAGATTTATTAAATCTTAATATATTTCAAAAAGATATACAATAATTAGTAATAATAACAAAATATTATTTTTAAAAATTATATTTTTATTAAAATTTATAAATTTTTAATACAACTTATTAAATTATTATCACAATATATTAAATTATTGTCAAAATATATAAAATAATTTAGTTATAAATAATTATTTTTTAGAATTTTGAAATCAAGTTAACAATAAATTAATTGATATTTCAAAAATTATGTTTTTATACAGTATAAATAATTTAAAATAATTTTTAATTTGAATTTTAATAAATTGAATTAAAAATTTTTTATATTAACTTAATTTGTTATAAAGTTTTACAAATTTTTTTATTATGAAACATAATGACTTTAATATTTTAAATCGAAAGAATATAGTTATATGATTTTTAATAATCGATTGGTTTTGTAAATTCAAAAAATAAAAAAAAAATTCAAAATTTCAACTAATTTGTTAAATAACAAATGTTTTTTTGGTTTTTATATTAATATAAAAAATATTTATTTATTTATTTAAGTTTGTAAAAGTTAATATATTAATATATATACAAAGAACCAGTTTTATTATTATAAAGACTTGTTTTTTAAAAATACAATTGTATGTATTAGTTAAACGAAAATTTTTGATTTTTTATATACCATTTAAAATTTTAAAAAACAAATATTTTCAATAAAATTTAAAAGATTTTTTTTACTGAATTATACCATAAAATAGAAATCTAAAAAATTATGACTTGTACTGTAATTAAAGTGAAAACAATCCTCGTTCTTGTTATTTTTATAATTAATGTTGGGAAATATATTGATATAAAATACAGTATAATAGTTTTAACATATATTTAAATATTTTTTTCTATTATAAAATTTGATCGCTTTTTTTTATATTTTCAAGATTCTATTTCTAATACTGTTGTTGTATATGTGCAACTCTAATTTTCGGAACTCACAAAAATGCTATATAATGAATAAAAGTTAATGACATAATTTCTTAAAATAATACAGCTCACTTGTTTTATCAGATTTTTTAGTTCAATAATCAATATTTTTTTGGGAATTACTATAAATATTCGTTCTTTACATACCGTATAACATATATTAGTGATTTCCCGAATTTCGTTGCAAATTCATGAATCGATTTAAATTTAACGTTAATGTATGGTGTAATTCTTGATGCCTTAAGTTTATTTCACCAAATTGGATATTAGTATGAAAGGTTATTTTTAAGAAAGAGAACTAAATTCACATAGTTGCCAAGACAGTAGAAAAGATAACGCAGTAAATAGTTTGTGTACTCGCTCAAGTTCAATTCAAAAATTCCAATTTTAGAAAAAGTGACACATTTTTTTTTTAAACTATTTCAGATGAAATCTTTGCCCAATGATTTATTGCTCATATGAAGATCAGGAACCATTGTTATGCATTGTTGATTGAGTAACCTGAGACGATGTGAGCTGTAAATCCTTGACAAAAACGAATGAAACTTCAGAAATGTCTCCGTGACAGATCAACAGTGAATTATCGTGACATGGCGCCAGAATCCTTGACTAAACCAAGTAAAAGTGGCACATTAACTAGGTATCTTTAGGCATCTATAAGGGAGACAAATTATTAGACTGAAGTCGTGGAACGTGGGTGTTGTCGATTATTGACTAAAATGCAGTAAGGATAGAAATGACCCGGGTCTTTTTAACAATTGTGGCACTTCCGTGGCAGGTGGCTTGATAATTGGCAGGATGGAGAAAGTTTTTCAAGTATAGTTTTAATGATCCTTAAGGATCTCATTTTAATACATATTTTGTTTTAGTAGCATAATCGCGGCAAGACCGATTGGGAAATAACTGGAAGATTCGTTATTTGGATAACAAAGACGAAGCACGCGATATTTTAAATTTTACCTCGTGATGAATTCGCGTGGATTTGTACGATGAAAAGACGTCAGGTTAAAGAAACAACTAACTTCTGTGCATATGATTCATTGGAACGAATGAGTTTATTTCCGAACTTGTTTATTGATTGGTCCAACCTTAATGTCTCTACATCGATGGAAATAAACAATGACCTTTGGTAGTTTGTTTACTTGGCTCGTTAGTTCTGATAATCACCATATGGTTGATTAGAAATAATTAATGCTTCACAGAACGAATTTGGGAAATAAGAAAAATCCTAGAGGCGTTGTGTTTACCATCTGTAGTCATCTTATAAAAAATTATTCACACTTGAAAATTCGTCCGGTCGGGTCCTCCAAAAAAGGTTCACTAATCAATTCGAGGTCTTCTAAATCAATTCATCTCGATCATTCTTTGGAAACACGTTTTTTTTTAAAGTACTATTAATAATTACATAATTGTACAATTTAGAAATTTCTACAACTGGGAAAATAAACACAAAACCTAATGAGATCAAATTAAGTGAACAAATTATATTGTGATTGTTTATTTATCCAGAGTTTGATGGTGATCGAGACGTGATATCTTTTCATCCGATTTAGGCGCAACATCTTTTATCCTTTAATTCTTTGTGGACTCATTTCCTCAACTTGTCATACTTCGAAAAATATAAATGAGTCAACAACGCGAGTGTTTGGATATTAGACGAGCAGGTGCCCTTTGTCCTTCGAATAGTGCTGCCTGGATAGATAATTTCACTCCTGCTTACCTATCTTTCCCTAAATATTTCTTTTGGTGCCCCTTTCCTTAATAAGGACAATCCTTTACTTTAGACATTTACAAATCAACTCACCAAAGATATAAATACCTTTTAAAAAATATCCTCACAACAAATATCAGGAATCTTGTCTCCTACCCACACTCGTTTCTCAGAGAGCGAAGGCTCAGACCGTCTTAACATCGCGAACAATAGCTCGAGGGATCGTATGATGTGTGAAAAAAATGTCCAATCTAATCCACAATATCAATCACAACAATCAGGAACCATGCAGCAGTTCATGCAAGACGGTGTGTCAAACGTCAACCAATATTGTGGTTTCATTCAAAGTAAGGATTTGTCGGGTAGCGCGTTTTCGACCAATCCCGCCAATTCCTCTCTGGAAGCGATTTGGAGTAACAAGGATTCTCCTCATATTCAATCTCCTCAAATTTCCTCTCCGAATCTCCATTCATCAAACCATATAACTTACTTCGATCCTTCAAATTCGGAATTATTCACCGCTCACTTAAACAATTCAGTTATTACGTCCTCTGTTAACTTAGAGAATTTAAGTTATGTCCCCAGCAACAATACCTCCGATAGGATTCCTTCCTATGTTAATACACCAACGAATTATCTTTCCTTATGCACCTCCCCAACGATATCTGATCCTCAATCATCATGCCTCAGTGATAACAGCACGAGCATGAGCGAAAGTTGCGCTTCACCAAGTATTTCGGGTAAGAAAAGAAGTTACGAACCAGAAAATACAACAGCAAGTGTCCCTAAACAACGTAAATTACATGGTAGTCATCCTCAGGAATTTGCTAATTTACTCGACAAATCATTTTCTCCTGTATGCGACGCTCCGCATTCCGAAATACTTAATCCCTCTCCCGACATTTTCCTAAAATTCGATAGGATCGAATTTTTCAGTCACATGAATAAAAGGCTCGATTACCTGGCATTGTCCATAAAGAGATCTCTAGGGCACTCATCTGACTATGATGACATTACGAAATGGGCAAGGCTATATAAATTGTTTAAAGGAGAATGTTTACAAATTAAAAATTTACTGGATGCCTCAGAATTTAAGTCCATAAATTCAATCAAGTTCGCAAAAGGAAGTCAATTTATTCAAGATGATGTCGACAAAGATCTACTTAATTTAGTGCCTGAGCATGCAATTCTGCAGAATCCGCATCCACTAAAAATCAATAAAGATGGGAATGAGGGATTCCGATCGATCGCGCTCTTGTTAAGGTCTCCAGTTGGTGAATGCTTTCATGAAGAGTTAAGAGTGAGGGCCGTTCTCGAGATGGTGAATCACGAAAAAAACTTCAATAATTTCAAAAAGCATACTCAATTAATTTCCCGGCAAGTCGATCAATTCATTTCTCTCGAGGTATATCCTGATTACTTTCAGAAAGACACTTTGGAGATGCTAAGCCGTTTTAAATGCCTAACACAGAATGCCCCGGATTATCCGACACAGATGTGGCAAATCGAGGCTTTGCACACCAGTATTAACACCTCGAACATTGGTGTGCCTCAATTATTTGTTTTATCAAGACTCTTGAAGGCAAGAATTCACGTGGTTCACCCTGACGGAAAAAATCAATACTTTAAGGAACCCATACCACAAGGAGATAAAATTATTACGAATTCGAGAATTTTTCACCTGCTTCTATACAATCCACAAAGGTTTGGTGATGATAATAATTATTCTCACACGCTCTTAGACAATTATTGCATTGCGCCTCTTGTCGAGCCTTCTGAGATTATTCGTATGCCAAATTTTGCGAAGATCGCTAGTGATTCTCATTCTAATTGTGGACTGTATTGATTTATCGTATTTTTTTTTCGTTTCATCCTTGGAAAATAGACTTCCTCTCTTTGATATACTAATATGTTTTCTTCCTAAGGTTATTTCACTTTTAAGATTAAGCATTTACATTATGCGAAAATATAAGCAACATTCTAAGATTTGGCATGATCAAAACGTCTATTATTAATTAGGAGGCAAAAAACGCTCGATCAAACGTCTTTTTGTAACTTAAATGTCACGTGAAAAATACGTTACGCGTTAATGCTATTTAAGTTACTTATGACCAAAAAATTCAAATAAATAACTCTTTTTGGTATGCACTAATTTGTATGACCGAACTTTGAATTATTTAAGTACTTGTTAAAAATCGAATAACTTTCAGTTATTACTAAATTGGAATAAAACCTGAATTTGTTTATAAAATATCTTTTTAAAAAAAACAATTTTTTTACATTTATAACATTATGCTTAATATGGTTTTTATATTTCGTATAGCTGAATAATTGTATTTTAAATAATCAAAATATTTTTATATAAATAAAATATATTTGCAATAATCATTTTTAGATAATTACGCTAAAATTTTTCGACATCAAATTCCATTAATAATTTTTATTAATCTCAATTTAATTACTTGCTTTTTTAAATCACAATCGTATATTAAATTTATCACATAAAAGTAAATATATAATTTTTATTCAAAAAAATAAATTCGAACCTTTAATGATATCCAGCATAATGCATAATGATTAGACAACGCAATGTCTGTCGAAAAAAATTATAATAAAAAAAGCAACCATTTAAGTATTTATGTTTATTTGAAAGTTAGAAAGAATGAGTTTATCAAATTAAGATTTTTAAAATAGATCATTAAGATGCTATCAATATTATTTTAATTTATGAAATGATTTAATTACAATCAATAAAATAGTAAAATGAATTTTGGAAATTTTGAAAATTTATAATATTTTTCGAATCCAAAAATTGATTTTAACTTGTAAAAAAAAAAAACATTATATATTTATCATTAATTTTTTGAAAATTTTATAATTTTATTATTCTTTTATGTATACAGTATATGATATATATCTGATTTATATAAATTTTTAATATATAAGTTATAATCCACTATATTAAATTCATAATAAATTCAATAATAACTTTATATTAAAATGGTATTATTAAAAAGCTTATACTGTATATTATAAATTTAAAAATGCAAATATTTTAAAAGTTATTGTTATATTAAAATAAAAATTTTAATTAAAAATTAATCAAGTTTTAAGAGTTTTATTGACTTTTTATTTATATGTTTTTAAAGAACTATTGATATTGTTCTTATATTAATTCTTTAATATTTTGAATTTATTTTTAAATCATGTTCAAATAAAATTATTAAATTTCTTATTTTTTTAATCAAATATTTTGTTTTTTATTTTTAATATATAATAATATTAATTTTTAATTTTTAATTAGTATAAAAAATCAAAATTAAAATCAATTTTTTTTTTCAAATAATTAACAAATGCTTAATAATTAATTAAAATTTAATAAATTAATTTAACAATAATATTTTAATGATCTTATATTATTAATAATAAATTTATTGTTATTTATATAACTTAATTATTTTATAGATAAATATTAATTTTTTTGAATTACTATTTATTTATCTAATATAGATTAATATCAATTGTATTGAAATAGATTTTAATTAATTTATGTTTTAATAAAATATATAATATTAATAATATAATATTGATATTAAATTTTTTTATATAATATCTATTTTCAACAATATTTTATAATTCACTGATATATTCAAACAATAAAAACAAACCATTTTCATACTTATTTCAAAAAAACTAATTTAAAGTTACAAGTTGATCAACATTAAGTCTATCTCTTTTATTAACTTTATAAGAAAAATATTTATAGAAATATTTAACAAAAATTAATCAAAATATTAAAAAAAAACAATGTTCTATTTAGGATTCCTAACAATATTATCTCAATACTCAATTCAAAACTCTAATTTTATTTAAATTCAATTGTATTGATCTTTTTAAACAAAGTATTATGAAATCATTAGCAATTGTCAGATTAGCTTTTTAAGTTACAAATATTAATAATAAAGAATTTTAGCTCACTTCTTTAAACATTGTGGAAATATTAACTTAGTATCTATACTTATAATTATGATGCCAAAAATTAAAATTAAACACACTTGTATAAACCAGTATAAGATTTGAAACATTATTAAAAATAATAGTAGATTATAATTCACATATTAAATTTTTTCAAATTTGAGAATCAAGAATTAAATCAAATTAAATTATTAGGGTCTTTATTTATAATAAAAAAATTATTAGAAAAATCTGATTTTTAAATTAGATTATTTATTTATTCATTTATATTCTTAATAATAAAAAAAGCTTTTTCAATATATTCTTTAAACTAATCAATTTATTTAATATTAACAATAGAGTTGATTAAAATAAAACTTTATTATCAATTATCTGAATTATTTTTTGCAATTTTCTTGTTATCTAATTGTTTTAACAATATCTAATTTAAAAATATACTTCTTCCAATGCTTTACTATATATAAATAACTTGGTACTTATTGCAAATTTTAAACAAAAAACAAAAAATCTTTTTATAATAGCCAGCCAATTCTTTTTAATCAATTACATGATATATAATAAAAACAAAAACTAAATTATTAACAATATTAAAATAAAATATAATATTCAAAATACAATTAAATTTAACAATTATTAAATTTAAGTTCTTAAATATTAGGAAAGTATAAATACTTTAATATATTAATTTCTTCTAAAATAATTTTTAGGTTTAATAAAAAAGTTTATATTTAAATATTGATTCAAATTATTAATAAGCTATTTAAATATAATTGAAAAAAAAATCAAACAATAAATTAGTAACTAAATAATTAAGAAAAACTTAAATATTTCTTGCTCTTATTATTTCTTAACAAAACAATACTTAATCTACTTTAAATCAAAATTAACAAATTTATAAAATTAATTTACAAAATCTTTTTCAAATATTTCAATATATTTTAATCAACTATAACAGTTTTAACTTAATAGCATTAGAAAAAAACAAAAAGTTATTTAATAAATAATCTTATATTTAAACTTTTTTTTTTTTTGAGTTAAATAGCATTAGATACAAGTCTTTTATTGATATTAAACCATATCTACAATACATCAAACATCTTCTGTAATTGTTATACTACAGCTTAATGCTAGTCTATCAACTATCTATTGCCCATTAATGCTAATCTGATACTCTTGAAGTATTTTTTCACATCTTTGGGGGACCTATCTAAGGGAGGAATTTCTATCACTAGTTTAAATCACCTAACCTACCAGTCCAATTTTTGTGCGGAAATAATGGAATACTACTTACTATCCTCTATAAGTAACTCATCATTCCACACCTTTACGCTTATGTAGCTAATGTGGCAGAGAGACCTTCACGTTGGTCTGTACTCTCTAATGAATGCTCTGAACCTTTTTTATCCTTTGATTAGCTATCAGCTACCAAATCTAGAGGTCCTTTTTGACCAATTGGAGTGCAAATCTGCAAGGACCATACAGGCCAGGCGGATAGCTTTTGACTACCCGCTCCCAAGGTCCCTTTCTCCTAGTAGACATATCCAAAGGGGCTGGTTGGCATAAGCTGCCAAATCTAGAGGCACGAATGTTAAGCAGGGTGCAACTCCTACAAACACAGTAAGTCATCAGGGATCCATGTTGCACAAGACGTTAGTGTCAGTTCAGCATGCTTCTTCAAAGTTGCCTTATTCAAAAATAAGTAGAATAAGGAATATCACTCAGGTTAGTTTAGATAGAGCACAGCCCAATTTGTGCATCCAAATATGTAGTTGGTTCAGGCTTCTGTCAAATGATCATCATACTGCTTCCAGACGATCATCCTGCCTCGCATCTTTCTTGAAGATTATAATTCCAATATCCCACTGGATCAGCGTATGAATGAGTTCCTATGGGAAACAGGGCTTAGTAGGTTATGGCTTCAGATACCATTTTTAATTCGATTCAATCGCCTTCGCCTGGAATTAAACTGGTATCTTGTGATCTGACCTATGGAATGTTAACTACTACACTATAGATCCACAGGTCTTATATTTAAACTTTTTATCCTATTTATTAAAAAATATGTTATATAAGATATTTGTATTATATATTTAATAAAATTGAATTTAAATATTTTTTTTTTTGTTAAAGTAAGACACTTCTCATAATCTTTATTGATAGAGTAAATATATAATGTTACATGATCAATATTAAGATATGAGATATATGGCTATATATATCGGTCTACCACCTATTGTAGTAGATATATTTCCAAAAAAACCTTGAGCAGACAAAAAAGGAAAGGAACTATCTACTAGAAAAAATAAAAAATAAGAAAACATTTGGGGCAAGATTGCCATTTAGTGAAAGAAAAAAAAGATAGAAAAGAAGAAGTATTGGAAAAATATTGAAACTTTTGTTAAATGTAGTTCCTGAATGCAAATAGATGTTTCAGTCAGATGATAGCATCTTGCAAGCCACATATAACTCGATGGGTTTGATCAGGTGATTTTTGTGATATGTTGCTGTTATGTGATATGGTTGTGTTGTAGTGTTATAGTGAGGTAACTGGAATACATTCCAGATGTTTATTGTTTTATTGTGGTGGATCTTTGTATATTGTGATTACCGGAACCCGCGCAGGGCACTAATCACGCACTCTCCCAATCTGGTAAGTTGTTGTGTTGTTTTGATGTGATTTGATGATACAGAATATTATTGGTGTTTTATGTGTTGCAGATCTTTTGGTGTAAGTAAACTGGTTTCAGTTTTTTTGTGTGTGAAGATGAACGAGGACTGACAACTAGCCAGAAGGTTATGCCAATTAACCTGGCACTAATTATTATCAGCAGAAAACAAAAACTCTAAAAAAATAAAATGCTGCCTCTTGAG